TTCTGTCCGGAGTTTCCTACATGGTTACTTCAAGCAAATGTCAGATACATGCAAATGGGGATTGGTGTTTGTGACAACAATGGCGACCACAAGCCGAATATCGACTAATTTCATATTCATGGCCATTTATTGTCTTGGTTCCGACTAACCGCAAGCGCGTAAGTCGAAATTGTGTCCTCAAGTTCGGTCTTATGCCGATTAGTATTTCAGTTGTGTCATTGCATGTCTGCTTGATATGTGAGAAAAGCTCAAAATGAAGCAGATTACCTTTTCTGGGAAACCAAAAACTGAGAAACCAATGATCACAATCGTGGCGCATCTAGTATTTCACCCCCACGATTATCGTAGCCTGGTACGGCTAAGGAACTCTTGACTGTCAGCAAATTGCGGAGCCTTAAAAGATTGAGAACTTGTGACTCCACTAGGCATGTGGTAGTTACGGGTAGCTACGCGATCGAAATGTGCTTTAGCATGAATAATTACTTTATAGTAAAATTGCTACTATTATTTCAAACTAGCTCTATGGACAGACAATCCTGACGTAAGCCTGACTGTCCAGTACCCGGTTGTATCAAACTTTAATGAAGCATTTACGTGTCATTAAATCTCTATTAGTTAATGTGCCATTAAATTCCGCTGTAAACTAACTTTTAATAACACCATTCGTACATTAATGGGTCAATGAGGTTTGGGGGTGTCATTAACCTGTCATTAAACCAAACATACATAATAATATGCGCTAATACGTTATTAAAATGCAAGGACCCGAGAAAGGTTTGCACTGAAACCCCCCAAAACACCTTCAGTACATCACAAAATTAACGTCAGAAGTGATGCAATTATGTCCTTTCGAGTCGAGTGAACTGTTTCTACTCATGCGGCTTGGCAGATGGCAATTTGTGCTTGATGAACCCATTAGTTAATTAAGGTTTGATACAACCAGGTCAAGTACGTCTGTAGCAGCTTGCCAAGGTGTGTAGTCGCGATGGTTGATCAAGGAATTTCTCTCATTTCAAAATATAACGTGTTATTTCATCGATGTAAGATAATGTGAAGCATATATCAATTAAGGATTTAAAAGCTATTTTGTTTTGACAAATATTTGCCATTAATTCTAAAAGAATTCAGCGGTCTCAATATCATATGGATGTGATGGTAATACTATGCGTAATGTGGTAGTTAATTGATTAAAACGCATCGTATTTCATATCGTGAAATGAGACAATTCTTTTGGGGACATAAACTTGACATGAAGTGGGCAGATAGCTAAATATCCTATAAATATAAGTCAACACCGGGATGATTTTCTTTCAGTTTCTACTGGAACTTTGTAATGTTAACATTTTTTAATTGTGTAAAAGAGGATTCACGTAAGGTGAAAGGTAGATCTTTGTCTAGATGGTTATTGCCTTGGATAAACTGGTTGTAACGCTTCAGTGTCAAAACGTATGTCTGATGCAGTTCCCCAGATTGACTTGTATGTTCCGTGTTGTTGTTTTTTCAGGTGAACAACGTACTTGTCTTTGCTTGTGTCTGTGACGGGTGCCACCGGTGGGGTTGGTACGCTTACCTTTTAACGAAAACCTCGTATCATCAACATTTGATAGTGATTCATAAACACATCCCTTTGATTGGAAAAGGGATGGCTCGCAAGAACTCCATTGGTGTTCCATTTGATGCCTCAGTGATGACTACCATAATTTCATTTTGAGTGGAATCTAATGTAAAGATGGATGTTGTAACTTTATAAGGTTCTTCGAAAATGCCTGAAGGCGATGATGAAGTGATCATTTACGCAAATTGGACATGTCATGATTCAAATGGAACTCCTTGTTTCATGATGTGGACGAAAAAATGACATATTGCAAGGATTCAAAGTCAGCATGAAATCTAAGTTTGAGATTCTGAAAGGTCATTTGTTTTCGCCCCTTCAGTACTGTACGCCTCTGGTGACCTGGGCATCTTCTACTTTGTTATATGATAGATGGTGTTTTAAAATATTGCCGATTACACATGCATTCGATATGGAGGCCAGCGTCGTTTGCAAAACAGTAATATTCAAACCAAGATATCAAAGTACAAGACAACCTTTTATCCTTCTGTATTCAATAAATAAGCAGAATCGTGAACGATGACATGAAGTATAATGAGCCAAAGAAAACTGAAGAAATTCAAGTTTCTGTCTTAAGATGTATTGCCTCAGATTTTTCCATTTGTTCTTTGTCGCGTGTTTCACTATGGTCTTATCCACGGAAAAAAGTGAAATGCATGCTAGTGTATGGATATTCCATTAAATATCAAGTCTTCATGATTGATGCAGTGGTCCGAGTAAAATAGATCATTAATTTTTATTTTTTTTATGTGATTTGTTTCAGCAGCCATAGTTATATTATGAAATATTATATAGAATGAGAAGAATCAATTAACATTATATTAATATAATGAACATTAATAATCATTATTTTCAACATCAAAGTCAGCGAGAGGCATATTATTCAGATAAGGATTAACGATTAACTGACAAAGTGAGTAAGTGTTTACGCCGCTTTAAGACCAATATTCTTAGAACACGGGCGAAGTGATGAAGATGAGAGCGTACGCTCTAATCACTCCACTATCCCTATCTATCCTAAGAAATGATAAAGATGAGTCAGAAACAAATAATCGTCAACTCGTGGATGTGCTATTTCATTATCAATCAATAAATCACAGTATATGAACTACCCATGGTCTACAAGAGGAACACGTAAAAACACAAGTATAGACATCTTCATATATCGCTCAGGTTAAAACACATCTATTCCTTTAACTGTCTGGACTAGTAACAAGCCAACTTTATCGTCGTGTAACATCATTTAGCTAAGTAAATAGTACGGTACCTCATCCTTCATCATGTCACCAGATGAAGCACACACCGACCTCGTCCTGCATCTGATTGCTTCAGTCTGCGATCTCGTGTGTGGGAAAACCAATATAGCAGAATGGGATTTTTACATTTCAGTATACCGAAGGGACATGGCTGCACCGAGGATAGACGCTAATACCCGGATGCCACTGCAGTCGTAACACTTTACGATCTTGTCAATCTGTGCTCTGATCATCGTCAAATGATGTTTTCGGTGTCGAATGATCGTTTCACCTTTTTTCAAGATTACGTGCCAGTATGCAAATATCTTTGCACCTTAAACCTACACATGAAAGAAAGTAAATCCCAAAGTATCCAACATTTTTAATAACTCGCATTTAGTAAATGCTTCACTAGAGGTGTGTAGCTGTAATTTGTTCATTATTTCAAATATGGTTAACCTACATCACGAAGTCCATACGCTTGATTGGTACTATCTCAACAGCCTGTCCAATTCAGTTTTTATTAATCTTCACTCGATAAAAGCACAAACGCGAGTGACGTTTATGTGACCTATCCTAAAATCGACGCCCGTGCTCAAAGGAACATTCATTGGTTCACGCTTTGGAGCAGTAATGCAATAAAAACAGAACTGCCATTCAGGGATCCAGTCCAAACACTATCACACTCAAATAAATCAGTTCGCAATGACTTAAAGAAGACTCCATCTCACACAAACCAGATACCTTGTTAGCCTCCATCCACAAATAGAAGTATCAAGCAAATAGGTACTCGTGGTAAAATTGTTCTAACATTCTAAGGACCATATATCTCCAAACCTCTCCAAACGTCGCAAACGTGTGCTGCCTGTCTGAAAGATTAAGTGTCACACCAACAGCCGTTCCTATTACTTAAAGGGGCCTATAAATTGGTCGAATCCTAACATACACAGTGGTGTCTCTATCGACCACTGTCTGCCTGGCATAGCGAGAGTTATAAATATGTAAGTATGTACCCCGTGCACTATGATTTATTAAGCATATTTATTACGGACCCTCGTGCATATGTTTTATGGAACCTTCACGCCTAGTCCGGTCTCATTCCCTCAAGCTCTAGAAAGTAAGAGCCTTGCGGGTTCCTTTATAAAGATTTTTTTATATTTAATCTGAGCATAACTTTTTATCGGGGACTATATGTTAAATTAAAGGCACCAATTCGCTGTGCAGAGTTGCGGCTTTTGTGCCTGACAGAAACCTGTGATTGTGGGTTCGAATCCCGGTTTGCCCCGACGATGTTTCTAGGTTTATCAGCACTCTATCCGCGGTCGTGGGTTTTACCTAAGTGGTAAACGTCTGAGAACTGCTGAAACGCCGTGATAACTGGAATACTGTTAAAAGCGGAGTTGTACCCAACTCACTCACTCTCTGAAGAAGGAAATGAGCCTGTTTTCAAAGATGAGACGTGGGTAAATGCCTCTCACACAGCCAGCAGTCAGTGGGTACCCAGTGGGGACTGTAAGGAGTCTTGGAGAAAGTTACCAATGGAAAAAAGGTGAAAGACTTATCGTTCTCTATGCTGGCTGTACTGGTCAGGGTTTTCTCCCGTGATGTGACCTCGTCTTTCGAGCCAAGGCAAAGAACAACAGGGACCACCACACAGAAATGAACGGCAAGATATTTCTGGAGTGGGTGAAAATTAAATTGGTCGCTGCTATGCCTGTCAAATACCTTATTATCATCACAGTATGCAGGATCCAGACAACAAGGACCCGACGTCCAACAGCCTCAAAGGAAATATGATGGCGTGGCTGCAACGGATTAAAATGACCTTTCCTTCAAGGGCTACAAAACCACAACTCCATTAACTCACCAAATCTAACAAACCTGAGCCCGCGTGTATGGTTTAAAATAACATCAAAGGTCAAGCTCACTATGTCTTACGACTTCCTCCTTACCACTGCGATCTGAACCATATAGGGTTGATATGGGGTATCGTCAAAGGTGAAGTTGGACGATTGAACGCGGGATGTAGAAAAGCGAGTAAATGAATCCCTGCCGTGTGCCGTATTGACATTTAATAGACTATTGCGGGTTTGAGTTATTTTGCAATTCATCGTTCTCCTCTGGGGCTAAACGGACTGTAAGAGCTGTGCATGTCAATGTTTGTGTGTCCGCCCGCATGTAAATATTGGAGCGTCCTCATACCAAATCCCCAGATGTATGTGTGAACGTCCCTGTACCAGATCTCCCATCTGCATGTGTGAACGTCCCTGTACCAGATCTCCCATCTGCATGTGTGAACGTCCCTGTACCAGATCTCCCATCTGCATGTGTGAACGTCCCTGTACCAGATCTCCCATCTGCATGTGTAAACGTCCCTGTACCAGATCTACCATCTGCATGTGTGAACGTCCCTGTACCAGATCTCCCATCTGCATGTGTGAACGTCCCTGTACCAGATCTCCCATCTGCATGTGTGAACGTCCCTGTACCAGATCTCCCATCTGCATGTGTGAACGTCCCTGTACCAGATCTCCCATCTGCATGTGTGAACGTCCCTGTACCAGATCTCCTATCTGCATGTGTGAACGTCCCTGTCCCAGATCTCCTATCTGCATGTGTGAACGTCCCTGTACCAGATCTCCCATCTGCATGTGTGAACGTCCCTGTACCAGATCTCCCATCTGCATGTGTGAACGTCCCTGTACCAGATCTCCCATCTGCATGTGTGAACGTCCCTGTACCAGATCTCCCATCTGCATGTGTGCACGTGCCTGTACTAGATCTCCCATCTGCATGTGTGAACGTCCCTGTACCAGATCTCCTATCTGCATGTGTGAACGTCCCTGTACCAGATCTCCCATCTGCATGTGTGAACGTCCCTGTACCAGATCTCCCATCTGCATGTGTGAACGTCCCTGTACCAGATCTCCCATCTGCATGTGTGAACGTCCCTGTACGAGATCTCCCATCTGCATGTGTGAATGTCCCTGTACCAGATCTCCCATCTGCATGTGTGAACGTCCCTGTACCAGATCTCCCATCTGCATGTGTGAATGTCCCTGTACCAGATCTCCCATCTGCATGTGTGAATGTCCCTGTACCAGATCTCCCATCTGCATGTGTGAATGTCCCTGTACCAGATCTCCAATCTGCATGTGTGAACGTCCCTGTACCAGATCTCCCATCTGCATGTGTGAACGTCCCTGTACCAGATCTCCCATCTGCATGTGTGAACGTCCTGTACCAGATCTCCCATCTGCATGTGTGAACGTCCCTGTACCAGATCTCCCATCTGCATGTGTGAACGTCCCTGTACCAGATCTCCCATCTGCATGTGTGAATGTCCATGTACCAGATCTTCCATCTGCATGTGGGAACTTCTTCATACCTCGGCATCCACGAACACGGATGCCATAATTTTTCCCGCTGATGAGACAGACTTTACATTCGTTGGTGGAGGCTTCCACAATATTGATCATTGTTTGATCTGGGAACCCAGGTTTATTCCATAATCATAAATCGTTGCAAGAATGTTTGTGGAACAGCTTTTAACAGAGCTAGATTATCAAGAGACATGTTGTGACGGATGCGGTTTTTATCAGAAGCTTTGGAATTCAACGTGTTGATACTCTCTTCATTACCAAAGTTTCAGTTGTAATGATATGTGATCAATGCACTTTCATCAAGTTTGTCCATTTTCCAAAGTTCACAATCTCTGCTCAAGCTACTGACATTTCGCAGCGAAATAATTTGCTCATTTCACTCAAGTGCTTTGTTTATACCTCTATGACATCATGTAATATCCAAAACAAAAGATTTCGCTTCAACGCAATTCGTTCTATGTGAGGCTCAGAACTCATCAATCAGCCCTGGAACAAAACAGCGGTGGCATTGCGTCAGTCAAGACAATAATAAAGTCAAATTATCTCCACCATCCCCCAGTGGAAGCAACACATATTGCTGACATTAAAGAAACTAGATAGAAGCGTTCCAAAGAAATGCACAGGTGCTTTGTTCTAAACATGAGGGATTTGCCAGTCATACAGTTACATAAGTTATCAAAGAGATGCACTAGCCTTTCTAATTCACTTAAACGTAGAATCTAGATTATCCATGACAACAGGGAAGTCGTCACAGGTTGTATCGTGTCCACTGCTCAAAGATAGTCTGTCTCTGTGTCCATAATCTTCAAAGAACTGTGACTAGCCTCTGTTTTGAGTCATTAGAAACAGTTTACTTGGCAGTTCTTACAGACACATTACTATCAGAATTCCTGACAGAAAGGACTGAATTGTGTAGATTTTCTATTGATGATGCTTGAGTGACTAGTAATCAAATATGTGTGTGAAATTCAAGCAAGAAAGGATAAGTTAAAACTCCATACGTCTTCATTTCATTTCTGTTTCCATAGATGTCACTGGGGATGAGATCTTTCTGGAGAAATTAAATCTCATGATTATTTCAAAACATTTAAATCATTTTATGTTTATGTCAATCGTTTTGAAAATCTACAGATGTCCTCAGCTAAACAATGACCGTCTGTTTCGGTCAATTTGACATGAATATAAGGCATCAATAATTGTAAATTAATATTGCGTATATAATGGAATATATTTTTGAGTAATGACAATGTTGAACGCTTTTTCATCGACATGGAATTTAATAACGCGCATTTTGTTCGAAAACAACATATACTGAACCGTAAAAGAAACATCACCATGGATAGATATATGAGAAACATTATTTGTCCAAACATTGTAAACATACTTTGAGACTTATTAAAAAGAAGAAACTTGGCAAAACTGATCATCAAGGTTGAAATTAAAGTGTCAAATGTTCTTAAAGTGAAAGACAAGACTAGTCTCTGAGAAAATCTCGTGTGTCCGCTATGTGCATTGATGACTGCCGTGCAACGTCGATACATGGAATGGATCAGGCGGTTGATGAAGGCCATAGCTATAGGTACTTGATCCCACACGCCTGACGCAGTTCAGCTTCAGTTGTCGACCCTGCTCGGACCTCATTCAGCCGTCTTTGAATCTCATCCCACAGGTACTCAATGGGATTTAAATCGGGACTGAGGGCAGGCCACTGCATGGTTCTGCTGTCATTCTGCTGGAGGAAGTCTCTCGCAGTGTGGGCACGGGGCGTTATCATGCTGAAACTCGTGGTTGCGGCGACGTGCCAAATGAGGTATGGCGTGTGGTCTCAAGAGTTGATCAATGTACTGAGCTGCTGTGGACACCATTGCCTCTCCCTGGACCGATGTTCTTGAAGACCACAGGGTCGACCCTCTGTGCAAGACCATTTCCACCCCACACCATGATGCTCGGGCTACCCCACGAGTCTCTCTCAACAACACAAGTATCCAAATAACGTTCCCCACGGCGTCGCCAGACTCTCTCTCTCTCTCTCTCTCTCTCTCTCTCTCTCTCTCTCTCTCTCTCTCTCTGGGTCCTTGGTGTGGCCTGTGACAGTGGAGTTGTCTGCTCGTCAATCGTCGACGCACGGTGTCCGCACTAATGTTTCCCCATGGCCTGTCGAGTAACAAAGCGATCTTGAAGATCCTGACGTCGGTTGGTGACACTTGGTCTTCCACTATGTGGTCGGTAATCTGTAGTGTTGGTGGTCTGGTACCGTTGCTGGAGCCTGTATATGGTTGGACTTGAAATGCCTTGGCTACTTGCCGGACGGTTTGTCCAGCTTGCAACCGTCCAAGGGCTTGGTGTCGCTGATGTGGTAGCAATTCAAAAACGAATGAATGTTATCCGATCTGGGTGGATGTTTATAGGGCAAGAAATGGGGGAACGCATGTGCATTTCAATTTGCACGGAACTCACGTGCATCGGGTTACCATGGCCGTTGCCGTGATGCGTTTGGGCGATCGGTTTTATTGTCATCTGCTTTGTTTTTGTATCATCAAATTTCATTTTTCCGGACAAGGTAATTTTAAATTTTAGAAACTTTGACAAAAAATACCCAGATATTTAAATGACAACTTTTCATGCAATGTTACTTGGGGTGACGTCTCTTTTGCGGTTCAGTATATATACAATCGGATTCGGTTGGTTACAAGCCCCTCTATACATTCGCAGACCATATGAGGTTTCCATGCTTTGAGGGTACCGGTGGCAAGGTCGCATAAGTCGCAGAATTGTGGGTTCGCGATACTGAAGATGTTTGTTGTTGCTTGTAGTTTGGCTCCACAATATCCATGTGTGTGGTAAGAGCCGGCACAAATGTAAACCTCGTGGTCACAATTAGGTGTTCATGCTGCCAACCACTATTTCTCTGTACAATACTTTGATCTACAGGCCACAAAATCAGTAACTGACTTACATATTACGCATGGAGATACACTAACGCCAACAAACTAACACACTTTGTTGTGATCTTTACACTCGGTATTTGTTACAGATTGTAATCTGTTCAATCGATTTATTTGCAGATCAGATTTTTTTCAATCGAAATCGATATTTGTAAAATCGAAATAGTTTTTATATTTACTGGTCTGTAAACTTAGACTTCAAATGTGTTACAGATTCCATTCTATCGAATCAAATATTTTTATAGATTCCATTTTGCACAACAGACATACATTACAGATTCCAATCTGTACAGTAGAAATATGTTACATATTCCAATCTGTACAACAGACATATGTTACAGATTACAATCTGTACAACAGACATATGTTACAGTTTCCACTCTGTACAACAGAAATATGTTACAGATTCCAAACTGTACAATTAAATAATGTCACAGATTCCAATCTGTACAGTAGAAATATGTTACATATTCCAATCTGTACAATTAAATAATCTTACAGATTCAAATATGTACGATAAAAAGGATACATATTTCCAATCTGTACAATAGAAATATGTTACAGATTCCAACCTGTACAATTAAATAATGTCACAGATTCCAATCTGTACAGTAGAAATATGTTACATATTCCAATCTGTACAATTAAATAATCTTACAGATTCAAATATGTACAATAGAAATGTTGCAGATTCCAATCCGTACAATTTGATAACTTTACAGATTCCAATATGTACGATAAAAAGGATACATATTTCCAATCTGTACAATAGAAATATTTTACAGATTCCAACCTGTACAAAACAAATATGTTACAGATTCCAATCTGTGCAATTAAATAATATTACAAATTCAAATGTACAATAGAAATATGTTACATGTTCCAATGTGTACAATGAAAATATGTTACACATTCCAACCCGTAGTCACTATATATTGCATATTTGCACATTCAAACATTTTAACTGACGTTTTGTTTGTTTTGTTTACTTGTTGTTTAATGCCGCACTCAGCAATATTCCAGCTATATGACGACGGTCTGTAAATAATCGAGTCTGGACCAGACAATCCAGTGATTGACATCATGAACGACGATCCACGCAATTTGGATCGATGACGTGCATCAACCAAGTCAGTGAGCCTGACCACCCGATCCCGTTAGTCGCCTCTTACGACAAGCATAGTCGCCTTTTACGGGAAAGCATGGGTTGCTAAAGACCTTTTTTAACCCGGATCTTCACAGGTCTCGTGGACTCGTGGGCTGGTCAGGCCCAATCATCAACGCTGCAGCAGACCCATTCTACCCCGGAATCTTCACGGGTCTATTAACTGACGTACTCACCCTTGCCGTCGTATTCCCGCAGTGATTGGTATAAATAACAATTGGGTCAAGTATATAAGAAAAGAATATGCAATGTTTTAATGAGGAACGTAATTTTAGCTTCACGATGATTGCCTAAATCACACCAATTCTGTTTGTGTTGAAATTGTTCACAGTGCGTGCATTAGCAAGATAACGACATATCTTTTCATTGTTGATATAATTGAACATGACGTCATCCACTATATAGAGTTAATGACACCCCGGAATTGCTCATGTCACGTCGTCACAACAACAGTTGGCCATGCGTTGTCTTTTTATGGGCCCTATAGAATAATTTACTCGGAAAAAAAGAAACAAAAAAACAAAACACACACATGCACGCACACGCAAAGATACACACAGACACGCACGCACGCACGAACGCACACCTGACTTAATCTCCTCAGTCCAAATCGGTTTGTAAGTCAATTCTGTTCGGATTTGGGGACACGGGTGGCCCAGTCGTCTAAGGCGCCGCGATTCGCTGTGCAGAGATGCCAGAAACCTATGATTGTGGGTTCGAATACCGGTTCGCCCCGATTATGTTTCTAGGTTTGTCAGCACCATACCCGTGCTCGTGGGTTCACCGTGGTCTGAGACCTGCATCACTTCGGGCTTTCCTCCCACATTAAGCTGACACGCTGCGATATAACTGGAATACTGTTAAAAGCGGCGTTAAACCCAACTCACTCACTCACTCACTGTTCGGATTGCGGATACGAGTAGAACCCTTATCTCTTGCTCGCCGTGAGAGCCCAACTAGGGATCGGGTTCTGCGACTTGGCTGACTGCGAGTCATCGCACCCCGATACAGTACACGTTTGCTCATGATTTCAGTCACTAGCATGCCTGTCCAGACTCACTTATATCAATGTCACTGTGTTAAGGCTGGGATATTGCTGAATGCAGCGCTAAATACTCAGGGCAGATAACTCTGTGGTTGTCGGAGGTTATTCGCCAATATGTCTTCTGTTGGCAGCAATGCTTGCATAGAACTTGATTCTTCAAAACGTCTTCAAGTGAAGTTGAAAACTGATCGAAACTGTTTCTAGAATGACATATTTGCAAGATATAAACATCACGCCCCATTAACAGTGTGCAGACCGCCTCGGTGGTCTTGTTGATAGAGTGTCTGCCTGTAGAGCGGAAGGTCGGTGGTTCGATCCCCGGCCGCTACGTACCAAAAGACGTTAAAAAACGTTACTACGGGGCTCAGCATTAGGGGGTGGTCGTCTCGGAGTCAATATACTGTGTCTGAGTGGGGTATTCATGTTAAACTGTGGCATGGTATCTCAGTGGGTTAGCACTATTAAATCAACATTAGTCCGGACTAGTACAAGCAGCCACGCACGCACGCACGCACGCACGCACGCACGCACGCACGCACGCACGCACGCAAGCACGCACGTCGCCGTATAAGTGCAACAATCGCGATGTTCAACCCAATTTCATCCCACAGTGTGCATGATGTGTTCCAATAAATGAATCGTCCAACCTTTCCCTGGACTGAATATTGCTGTACAACACGTTCCGTCTTGTGCGGTCGTACTATTCATGTCGTCGTTAATGAAAACGATTACGGGATCTGGGCTGTCATTTGTCCGCCTCTCGTTACCGATAACACTATGATTGATGCTTTAATAAAACATTTCAAGCGATCATGCAATATTGTTATCATACCTTCTAGCACACTATTAATATCCAATTCATATATTCCTATGTCAGAATTATATTTTAAAGAAGCAAGGCTCAACTCAAGATAGTTTGTGTGACAGATCGTTTGTAAAAGCAAATCGCAATAAAACGCCAAACGATCTTTCCCTTTTCCTTGTAAAGTCAGTGTGAAACACATTCAGTCACCCTTTAGCTTACATCCAAACTGTATATGTATTGAACTAAAAAAAAACATAGTGAAGCATGCTTGTCGTAAGAGGCGACAAACGGGTTCGGGTGGTCAGGCTCGCTGACTTCGTTGATGCATGTCATCGTATCCAAATTGCGGAGATCGATGCGAATGATGCCAATCACTGAATTGTCTGGTGCGGACTCGATTATTATACAGACCGCCGTCATATAGTTGGAATAGTGTTGAGTGCGGCGTTGAACAACAAACAATGATAATAACATAGTGAAGCAGATATGCTTTTTTAAAGAACGAACACGCGCACGAGCACAAACGAAAACGCACACGCACAATCATATCCATATACAGTTAAACATCGTCATGGGGATCATTGCAATATATCGAGTTATCCCTTTTTCGAGACAAGCGGAGTGACGGGATCAGAAAAGGATTATATCAGAACCATAATCTTGCATCACCCTAAACGATAGTCCAAATTAAAGGAGTTGGAATTATCAAGTCCCTGTAAGCTATGAACCCCCGTTAATCCAGATCCCGTTTGTCCGTAAAACCCACTTACTGTTATACACGTGTGTGTACTGTAACAAAAGGGGCATTACTACGCAGCAACGATTCATTAATCCGAAATATATCTCACTCCGGTCCCGTTCGTTTGTGAGTCATGGGGTTAAACAGTACCTTAATGGTACTGAACATGACACAAAGTAAATGTGATAGGACTGCTAACAAATTACAGGCATACAGACCCTACACTTATTTAAGAACTATCCCTACCCTCTGTAATGATGCACGGTTTTCCAAGGACACTAGGTATAGCTATGTAAACCCTCCACAACTACTTGACGGGGTAAAGGCTGTGCCGCCCATTGATCCAGTAAACATTGATCTGGAGAGATCAAACACGGGAGAGAGTTTACACTAATATTCCACCCCTCAGTCAAGTCGTCAAATATGTGATCAGACAACCCAGTATTACAACTACAAGAACATGGAAGATTTAATAATGAAATCCTTGGACTTTTTTTCATATCTGATATTTAATCTTAGTCTGTCATCGGATTAATTAAATCAGAAGCGTGTAATACTTTCAGCAAAGATAGAGCAACTGTGATTAGGTGCTCCTGGACGGTACATATGTGTAGGTATACGCAAGTACATAAAGTATTCATTATTCAACTTCCAACAAAGACAGAAGCATCTGCGATTAACTTTGTTTGTTTGTTCGTTTAACCGCAAGCTCAGCAATATTGCAGCTATATGACGGCGGTCTGTAAATAATCAAGTTGCTGAAACATGGGTTGCTGAAGACCTATTCTAACCCGGATCTTTACGGGTGTCTGAGATTAAGTGTTCTTGGTAGGTTCATGTGTCAGTACATGTAGTATTCAGGTTTATATAACTTCCATCAAAGATATAAGCATCTGTAATTAGGTGTTCTTGGTAGGGGCATATGTACATATAAACATTCTCTTATTGCACGATTCATTTTTCCTTACTGTATGGGTCTGACGAAATATTCCTGTTTCCCACGTGACTGATTCTAGCTTTGAGCAAAGTCAGATGAATTGTGTTCAATGGATAATTGGGATGCTTAACTCTGCGCCGCTACTAATTTGCAGTACGTGATAGACAATATAATGCAGGCACACGGCTTGAACATTGGATGATTCTGTTGTTGTTCTCGTCTTCATCAAAGACACTTTCGCTTTCGGTCAGATGAGTTTCTATTTATTATAGATCATATAAAAGCCGAACAAAATATATTTCAGACATGCATATCGTTGAGGATATCCAAATACAATTTCAACATTTAACTTTTTTTTAACGAAACTTCAAAAGATGGGTGTATTTCATTGTTATCTTTTGAAATGAATAAACCCTGATACAGATGGTACCGTAACGTATATCAAAAGGTTAACGTTAATAATATTCGTTAGTATGTATGTAGGAGTGAGTTAGAGAGTGAGTGAGTTGGGTTTCACGTCGTATTCCACAGTATTCCAGTTAGCATGTCAGTATATATACTACAAGTATTCAAGTTTTAGCAATGAAAGATGATTCAAAATGCCAAGATGTGGACACCTTTACATCTTGATATTAATCAGTTGATAGTGTACAAGTACAATTCTACTATTATTATAGCTTAAACATAACTAAAACATAAGTTATTAGTAGTTCCACATTGGCAACACAAGAACGACCCACGACGTCAAGAAAATAACGTTGCTTCAACTTTCAAAGCAAGATGAATTCGTTTTATAACAATACAACGTACCTTTCTTGTAGCCGATAACGCCTCTCCCAACTTGTCGGTGAAATCCTCGAGAAAACAAGATGCGACGCTGGCCGTCACTAAACTCCTATACGATCCAAATTGATTTTCTCATCGAGAGGCACGGGGAACTTAGTTACCGGCACAAACAGCTGTCGCATTGCTCGTCCTGACAAACACTCGAAACTTTGAGATTTGGCGAGATTTGCCGTGACTTGATAGTGCGATTCCCCACTATCTATTACCGAGAAATTCGTTTGAAATGACCCAGTGGTTGCGATCAGGTTAGATTGAAGATTACTGGTGAAATGACAATGAGAGTGACTATTGGCTGCTGTACCTCAGCATCCTGTGAGAGGAGGAGAGAAGGAGGCATGAAGGGATTTGCCTGCTTTATCAGTCGTGCATCTAGGAAGTATAACAGTGAAAGCTAGCGAATGCTTATGACGGATTTGATTTGATTTGGGTGCGTGGCAACACGTTTTGTGTTCAAACAATGAATAGAACCGTTTAAGATCCGTTCTTTAAACTTTTTCATTTATGTTCCAGATAAATCAAGACAGCGGATGAAAACATATTTTATAAATAGCATTGTTTCACCACACACATTGTTTCAATAGAGAAAATATGTTTATACTCAAAAACTGTTCAGCCTTTCATATCGTTTTAAAAAAATATTTTATTTTTTTTAAATGGTGTTTATATATTATCAGTGATGCAAATTCACAAACCAGCGCAATCAAAATTTTGATACAATATGTCACTAAACCAAGTTTAGAATAAGAGTTCATTTCTTTTTCAGCTTGGAATGATCATTTTGCGAGACCGGTGATAAAATGTTTCTATATGAAAACAACAACTAACTGCAACACTATTTACATATTCTGAAAATAGCTTAAGTTGAATGAGCTACACAGGTGTTAGTTAAATTATACCAAATATACCAGTTACCACGGTGGATGCACCAACGATGGGCACTACTGTTTACCAGTGTGGGGAATCGAACCTGGGGCTTTGACGAGATGAACAAACGCAATACCGCCCGCCCCAACGAGGTAATGAGGAATTACCGGTTACCTCTCCATAGTTAGAGATTCCGCAACTTCGAGTCATCAAATGGCTAGTCCTAATAAGACACTGTCAAACCCAACCAATTTTTCAAACGACGTCAGATGATATGTTCTCTTATATATGCGCTTATATGACGTGCCGCTTCGAAAAAATAATTGACCAATAGTGCCCCTTTCATCAAGGGGATGACTTTCTGAACGCCGCAGAAACATGGCATGTGAAACAAAACAGGTGTGAAATATCAAACTGGAATTATGCAATCAGTGTGAAAATCAAAATGAATTGTTTCGACATTTCTTTACGTCGTTCTCAGAAGTTATAAAACTTTGTCGTGTCTGAGTTTGGCTCAACGCCACTTTGAACAGAATTTCAGTTATGTATCGGCGTGACAGCTTCATGTGGAAAATGTGTTTGCTTGTTTGATGTTTAACACCGAACTCAGCAATTTTTCGGCTATATATATAAAGGCTGTCTGTGAATAATAAAGTCTGGACCAGACAATCTAGTGACTGACATTCATGAACATCGATCTATACAATTTGGATACCATGACATGCATCTACACCGAGCCTGACCACCCGATCCCGTGTGTTGCCTCTTACGACAAGCATGGGTTGCTGAAGACCCAATTCATGTGAGGAAAAAGATGGAAGTGATGCAGACCGAAACGTTTGCCAATTTTATAAAACCCACGGGAAATAGCCAGAAAACGGAACTGGTGCTGACAAATCAAGAAACATAATCAGGGCGAATCTGCGACTGAACAGAGACTCGTATAGGAGTTTAGTGACGGCCAGCGTCGCATCTTGTTTTCTCGAGGATTTCACCGACAAGTTGGGAGAGGCGTTAGGGGGGGGGGGGGGGGGGGGCACCGGGAATGATCTTCACCCATCGTGGCCATGCTGGGAGTCAAGCCACGGCATCGGGGGTGACGAGTGGGCGCTTTAACCACTAGGCTACTCCAACGACCCCCTTTGCACAAGGGGACCGCTTCAGTGGTTAGAGCGTCTATCCGGAAACCGGAAGGTCATGGTGTCGATCCGCGGCCGCGTCATACCAAGTGACGTTAACAGATGGCATTTGTTATTACCCTGCCTGGCGCTCGGCATTTAGGGGCTAAAACAAGGTATGGTCAGTTTGGAGTCAGTATACTGTGCCTGAGTGGGATAATCATGTTAAACTGCGGCAGTGGTATTTCAGTGGGCTTGCACTGTAAACTTGGCATTAATCTATACTAGTACAAGCACACACACATACACACACACGTGCATGCACGTCGCTACATACCTGCAATAATCTTGAATGCGGCGCTAAAGCCCACATCACATCACCCCCTTGCACCTGGAAATGTGCTGTTAGTTGTTATTCACTGTCGTTCGCCAGACAGGATATATATCTGTGGAATTACCATTTTTCTGAATGTTCTTCTTTGAGTTTTAATGTCAAATTATGAACCTAATGTACTCAAGAGAACTTCCGATTTACATTTAACAACTGTCTCGTTAGATTGTTCATGACAGCCAACATTAAGCTAAATCGTCTTTCTGTACATTATCCACGGCTTCGCTATCATCTCAGGAAATACTCTGAATCATTTTAAGACGAAAATACAGTATATGGACATCGAAAATGGCTATATTCGCTACGGCCGTCAACCTATGATGGTCGTTTCCGATAGGGTAGGACAAGCTAATCCATTCAGGAAACAAAGTGTCATGGCAGTCATGATGGGTATGAATTCGTGCTAGCAGTGAAGACGTTGCTGGTTTCATAACTGACCAACTTGTTGAGCGACCTTGGTGATTTGAATTATATGTTTAGCCAAACCGAACCGATTCGTTTCTTATTTCTTTTTTAATAAGCGATATTCGGTTAATTGCCGAGTCTGAGCAAGACAAGCCAGAGGTTGACATAATGAGCAAAGTACCATTGCCTATGATATTATTATATGATGATGAAAATGGCGATGATGATGATAATGATGATAACGGAGATTAGGATAGTTATTATCAAAGTATTATCATCAGATAAAACGGTTTGAACACCTTGACAACATTTTTATATATAACATGAATCAAATCAACGCGTTGAAATATATCATTGCAACATGGTAGTTCTCCCTCAGTATTTTTTTTATTTTTAAAAAAGCAATTTTTCAATTAGTGTTTTTCCAATTGGATGTTGGTGATCTTTTATTGTCATCGTCATTTGAATTCCGACTGAAATTGAAACTCAAACTGACACTAAGCTTTTAACAAGTTATTTACGGATGCAAAATGTGTCCTTTTGAGAATTTCATGAACCCAAACTTGTGAGGGATTCATTCAGTTGATCGCAGTTTACGTGCAGGGCAATACCATTTCTGTCAGTGGCATTTCCGCCCATTTGCGGGTCCTTTGAACTGCTTCATATCACCGACAGCCGAAGGATAAACTGATGGCTTCATGTTACACCAAGGGGTTCACCGACACCCTGACGTCCCGAAGGTACTGGTCAAGGATTAGCCGACGGCTCGACATAACACACCGACGTCTGAGGATATCTGTCAAAGAATCAAAATCGTCCGAGGATACACCTGTCAAAAAAATCACCAACGTCCGAGGTTACACCTGTCAAAGAATGACCAACGTCCGTGGATACAACTGTCAAAGATACACCAAAGTCCGAGGATACACCTGTCAAAGAATCACCATCGTCCGAGGATACACCTGTCAAAGAGTAACCAAAGTCCGAGGAAACACCTTAAAAAAATCAGCAACGTCCGAGGATACACTTGTCAAAGATACACCAACGTTCGGTGATTCACCTGTCAAAGATACACCGACGTCCGAGGATACACCTGTCAAAGATACACCGACGTCCGAGGATACGCCTATCAAAGAATCACCAAAGTCCGAGGGTACACCTTCAAAAAATCAGCAACGTCCGAGGATACTAGTCAAAGATACACAGACGTCCGAGGATACACCTGTCAAAGAGTCACCATCGTCCGAGGATACACCTATCAAAGAATCACCATCGTACGAGGATACACCTGTCAAGGATACACCGTTGGAGAGAGGATATCCTAAACGGACCGAAGATACAACTGTCACGGATACATCGACAGCCCGAGGATACACTGTCGAGCAAAATATGCCCCTGTCGAGGACATACTGACGGACCAAGGGTACATATGGCATGATTAGGACTGTGCCACATTTCCAGTTAGTTGTTTTCTTTTTGTTGTGCCCACCCTTAGTGAAATCAATGTAACTTTTAAAATAAATGAAGAGTATAGCTTCATGAATCGGCTCGTCGTTTTACACTTTACCTAAAATAGTCAGTGTAAATTTATGGCATTTGTAATGGGTACAATTTACTTTCCAGTTAAGGCAAGCATTACTGATAATTGTAACACAGTATCATATTATTTTAAATTCAGTATTGACAACCTTGATTAAGTATTCTAATATCCTGTGGGGATTTCGGGGTAAAATAGAACCTGTGTTTGTGATAGGACGCCACCAAATAGACCGGACGGTCCTGCCCGGTGTCTTGGTTGATTGTGTGTCATTGAACGCCGATTGTGTGGATCATTGGTGACAATATTAATCGCTGGATTATCAGGTCCAGACTCGAATATTTGCAGGCTTCCGTCATATAGCTGGAATAGGGTCCCTATTTGACCCCTGATAAGTTTACATGGATGTGTCGGTTCTCTCGAACTCATTTGGTTGTCCTAAATACCAAATGCAAATACATTTCAACCTGATCAGTCTAATTGAAAATGTGTGAATCTGTCATATATCTCCATCGGTATAATGTTCATATTGATGCATTCTTCAAGTCTTCGTGGTCTAGTGGTAAATGGGGCACCGGTTCGAATTGGTTCAAATCCCGGTTCGCCCCAATTATGTTTCTAAGTTTGCTAGCACCATACCCGGGTTCGTGGGTTTCACCGAAGTGGTAAACGTCTGAGACCTGCATCAATTCAGGCTTTCCTCTCGCGATGAGCTGACACGCCGTGATAAAACTGTAATACTGTTAAAAGCGGCGTTAAACCCAACTCACTCACTCACTGTAGTGGTAAAGCGTCTACCTGGTGCTCATTATTAAGGGACTAAAACAAGGACT